AAGGAAGGAAGGAAGGAAGGAAGGAAGGAAGTAAGTAAGTAAGTTTGCTTTTTATATCTTACAGGCAAGGTTTGGCTTGAATGAAAACAGAATAAGAAACTTTGTTCAAATTAACGTTGTTTTGGCTAGGGATAGTAGAATATCTATAAATATTTTGGAAGTACTTATCAGAATACTATTCTTTATTGTGTGTGTGTGTGTATGTTTAGCCCCTGTAGCCCTTGCAAGTTGCTAGCTTTTGAGAAAACAAAACTAAGTAAAATAATAACCATTAAATTCTTTATGTGGATGCAGAATTGCAAAATGACAGTCTCACTGTAAGGGTCAGTCAGACCAATATTCAGACTATGTAAGGCAGCATCTTGCATAGATGCACAATTCTTAAATTACTCTTTCCATTGTTTATTACAAGTTCAGATCTCCTGGGCTTTGTTCTGCTCAGTCTGTATTTGATGATGATGATGATGATGATGATGATGATGATGATGATGATGATTTTGCCTTCACCCTGTAGCTCTTCTTTTTCTTGAACTATTCTTCCTTCCTTCCTTCCCTTGCTCCCTCCCTGTAACAATGGTGATATATAATGCTTCATAATTAGTTTGCTTCACTTAAAGATGATATAGATGTAATGTACGGATTGTAAGAGCTTTATACCCATACAGTTGAACATTAACACTCTATTTGCAGTGTTGTACCGAAGTTATACCAACACATCCTGGCCTTGGCATTTGCTGTGAAGGAGATCAATGAGAACCCAAAGCTCTTGCCCAATGTCACACTTGGGTTTCACATCTATGACAGCTATTATAATTTGAGGATGACCTATCGCACTACTCTAGACCTCCTTTTCAAATTAAACAGGTTTTTCCCAAACTACAGATGTGATGGCCAGAAAGAACTACTGGCTGTCATTGGGAGCCTTGGTTCTGATATTTCTTTCCATATATCAAAGATAATAGGTCTCTACAAAATTCCACAGGTAGGAATCATTATACAGGGGTACAAATCAAAGGGTGGGTTTTGATAGATGGGGGAAATCATTTCATTTTGTTTATTACTGTGATTCGTATGCCACTACTTTACAAGTCTCAACATGATTAAAAAACACATTGCAGGGATTAATGACTTCAGATAGGGAAAGACAAGACAAAAATGGATCTGATTTTGGTCATTATTTCTCAGAAATTGCATGATGACTGCTATTAAGCTATGCTCAGCTTTACCCAACTGTGGTATGCTTTGGACTTAGTTTTATCTGCTGCTAAAATGCTTTGTGTCAGTGTGGCATACATTATATGTTAACTGTTACACTGCGCTTTCTATTTTCTGTTTTGTTCTTTTTACTTAGAAGGAAAAAAAGTGAGTCAAGAATATTAAATGTCCATTGTTTAACGTTCAGCTAGAAGAATAATGGTTTTTAGTTTTCTCTAGATTTGCAAAGTTAAGTTTTTGCAAACTGATGCAAAAGGAATTCAACACATATTCCTCCTAACTCATATCTAAAATAATTGTACTTTTTTTTTTTTAGTTTACTTATGGCTCTATTGCCACAAAGAACAGCGATGCAATGCAGCCACCTTCATTTTATTGCATGGTACCCAATGAAGCCCACCAGTATCTGGGGATTATTCAATTACTACAGCATTTTGGATGGACTTGGATTGGGCTCTTTGCTGTAGATGATGACAGTGGAGAATATTTCTTGCAGATGATGGAACAATTATTTCACCAGAATGGTATCTGCTCAGCCTTCACAAAGAGAATCCCCAAACAAGCTTCTTGGCATACAGAAGACCAAATGAACAATATGGTCTCAAATATTCACCAGCTCTTAACACATGGCACAGCCTGTTCATATATTGTCTATGGTGAAACCATGATAATGGCATGGTTGATCCTCATAATAGGTTTTTTGCATGAAGAAAATATATCATTAAGAAAGGTGTGGATTATGACAGCCCAGATTGATTTTGCATTATCAAGCCTCCAAAGAAAAACAGATCTGCAAGTGTTCCAAACTGTCGTTTCTTTAACAATACACTCACAACAGCTACAAAACTTTAAGGAATTTCTTCAGATCATAAAGCCTTGTAAAATGCAGGAAAATGCTCTGTTCAAGGATTTTTGTGAGCAAGTCTTCAACTGTGAGTTTTCAAAGCCTCAGGAGCCAATGGAATTGAATGGAATATGTACTGGGGAGGAGAGGCTGGAGAATCTTCCTGGGCCTCTGTTTGAATTGTTTGTGTCTGGACACAGCTACAGTATCTATAATGCTGTCTATGCTGTGGTAAATGCTCTCTGTTCAATGAACATGTCTAGATCCAATCATAAAATAATGATGAAGAGTAGAGGATATCATTATCAGGATCTCTGGCCTTGGCAGGTAATAACTACATGATAAATAACTTTGTTTCCAGAAACATGTCAGTACACTGTGGAATAACATCAAATATCCTCTTACAGAATGCAGAACCAATAAAATAGTTCTCCCCACCGTATTTATACA